TTTTAGCAGAAATCGTTACACATTTTTTAAGCAGAAATCGGTAACTCTCTCACCGATTCTCGCAAAATTCAAAACAACCATCTTTAAATAATACTCTGTATAAAATTACATGTACATCTTATACACTTTTTAAGCAGAAATCGGTAATCCTTTCACCGATCCTCGCCAAATTCACTAACAATCTTCCTTTAATGATACTCTATCTATCAAATAACTTAAGGTAGACCGAGGCGAATCGGATCAATATAAGTTTTAAGACAGTTTTTGTTAGTGTATTTTTTCAAACGAGCTATTTTATCGTGCTAATTAGTAATCCGATTCCACTATACTTTTTCCCACCTTATTCTGCCTGCTTTAATCCACGCCCTCCTTCCCTCTCTCTCTTCTCGCTATCTCTTTCAGTTTCCAGTTCATCCTTCTTTCCTCCCACGTCAAATCCTCCATGAATCTCTCTTTTCTACCCACCAAGCTCCTCTTTTTTTCCATCACCTCCCATTTTTGTTCTTCGTTCTTTAATTTCAACAACACCATTTTTCTTCCTTTTTCCACATCCCCCTTATTCTCTTCACCTTTATTGCCTTCACTTTGACTCCTATTCCCTCCAATAATTTTTCCGCTTCTTGTCTCCTCTCTCCTTCCTTCACTTCTAAACCCTATATCACTATATTTCTTCTTCTCTCCTCTTTCTCCTTCCTTTTCAGCCTTTTTTCCAACTCTCTTATTCTCTCCCTCACCTTCTCGTTTCCGTTTCCTATCTCCCCCTTTTCTTCTTTTCTCCTTCCTATTTTCTCTTCCAATCTTTTTAACCTTTCCTCTACTTTCTCCTTCTGCTTTTTCATCTCTTTCCTCTCCTCTCTCCATCTCTTCTCCCGCGCCCTGAACTCTTTTCTCAGTTCCTCTATTTCTTCTATCAACTTACTTCCCTGCTCCTTGAAGCCCTTCCTAAATTCCTCCCTCATGGACTTGAAGTCCTCTCTCATCTCACCAATTATCTCCCTCAATTCTCTCACGCCTTTCTCCGCTTCTGTTTTTAGCGATACCGCCGTTAAATTGCTCCTCTTAAAAATCTTCTCATCCTCCACGCTCTTGTCTAACTCCTCTCTCTTCCTTTTCCAGAGCTCCTCTATCTCACCTTAGCGTTCGCGCCCTACCACGAACTGCCGCCCTGGCTCGGTTAACCCTCTACCTGTGCTATACTCTATGTCCTGCCACGCACAACCGCACGTACCTCCGTCCGCCTACCGAGTCGCCCCTTTACACCGTCTCTCGTTCTCGCCCTACCCAGCGCTACCATACGCGTCTCTGCTCACCTAACGCGTCGCCCCTCTACTCCAGCTATTATTCGTGCCGTAACCTTTGTCCAAGCCAGTAGGTAAGCTAGGCCGGTTCTGGACCACATACCGAGGGCGAGGGGGGGGTGAGGGGCGGGGGGGCCGCGGGGGGGAACCGCGCGTTTCGGGCGCCGCGGGGAGGGAAGGGGGGAACCGCGTGTTTCGAGCGCCGCGAGGGAGGGGGAGGAGGGGAACCGCATGTTTCGGGCGCCGCGGGGAAAGGGGAGGGGGAACCGCATGTTTCGGGCGTCGCGGGGGAGGGGGAGGGGGGAACCGCGTTTTTCGGCGTCGCGGGGGAGGGGGTCCGCGTTTTCCGGCGCCGCAAGGTGACCGCGTTTTCGCCGCGCCGCGGAGCGTTCGCTTTTTCCGGCGCCGCGGGGCGAGGGGACCCGCGTTCGCGTTTTGCCGCGCCGCGGAGTCCGCGTGACGTCACACGGCATGCTCGCGTTATCTCCCCCTCGTAGATGTTTCTTTCCCGTCCCCCCATTCGTCTTCTTGTTCGCGCGGTGTCTCGCGCCCCCGCCCCCCCCGTTTGCGCAAGTCTTCTCGTTCGCGCGGTCTCTTTCCCTCGCGCGTTCTCGTTCAGAAATTATGCGAAAATTATTAAATAGAAAAATTGCTTACCACCGCATGATTTCAACCTGAAACCCCTGGTTCTTGAGTCACCTTCCGCACTGTGTGTGTGTGTGTGTGTGTGTGTGTGTGTGTGTGTGCGTGTGTGTGTGTGTGTGACACAACATTGATTGTCTTTTTATTGTTACACTTATTGTTACACTTATTGTTAATCTCTTAGCAGTATAGGTCTCTTAATTTTAGATAATACACACTTAAAATATTTCTCCAGGCACTTCCATTTCTTCATCATTTGCTTCAACTTCCATTCTTTCTTCTTCTTCAAACTACAATTCTTCAAAATCCATTTTATATACACTTTGCTTACTTGCACTCACGCGCTAAAATATAAACTTTGGATAATATCCGAAGGTTCTTTTCCAATAAAATTCGTTGTCGAGAAAATCTTGATGCAATCGGAGATCAGCGATTCCGATCTCGCGACGGAATAGATATCGCGCTACGTCGACTCTCCCCTTATACAATCTGCTACAGTTTCTCATCTGCGGTTCGCTGATTTTCACAATCTTGAATTTAATATTACGTATCGGTTTGCAAAGTTTTGCGTACTCGCTCATATCGGTGGGCTTTGATATATAGCTCTTAAAATGGCAAACCAATTGTTGTATAAATCGCACGATCATGCACACCAACCGACTCTCACTTCTAGTCCTCGACTACTGAGCGTACCTTCAAATTCATCCTACTACATCTCACTATTGTCACATCGTTTGTTTATCATATCTAATTTTATCTCAGTAGCCGTACGGATGCGCCTTCCGAAAAATCTGCGATGTGCAGTTTTGCACGTGTGCAATGAAGTCACCGCGAGACACGTATGTTCTCGAAAACGATATCGCGCCATTGACTTTCGGTGATTTGATCTGTAAAACTGCTATTGAACCGCGATCAAACAGCTATCAAACAGGTATTGAACCGCTATGAAACAGCTATCAAACAGCTACTGAACCGCTATAAAACAGCTATTGAACCGCTATCAAACAGCTATCAAACAGCTAAAAACAGCTTTGAAACAGCTAAAAACAGCTAAAAACAGCTATTGAACCGCTATCAAACAGCTATCAAACAGCTAAAAACAGCTAAAAACAGATATCAAATAACTATTGAACCGCTATGAAACAGCTAAAAACAGCTATCAAACAGCTCTTGAACAGCTATCAAACAACTAAAACAGCTCTTGAACCGCTATGAAACAGCTAAAAACAGCTATCAAACAGCTCTTGAACAGCTATCAAACAACTAAAACAGCTATCTGTATAACAGCGATCTGTATAACTGCGATCTGTATAACTGCTATTGAACCGCTATCAAA